CGCACAAATGGAAGAGTCACTTCAAACCACAGTCAATTTCTTCGGTAAAAGGAGCCACGCCGTCGGAATTACAGACATGCAATTTAGTGTTTCTGAGTAGATTAAAACCCAGCTTTTACAGACTGAACGAGAATACAGGAGGGATGTAGAAATGTTTGAATAATGCATATATATACATTTGAATACCATTTATCCGTTTATGACCCGAGTGACTAAAACTGACCTTTTTATCTCCATTTTTTGGACTGATCTACAAACTATCGGACAGCGTTGCATTCTTAAATACGCTGCCCAGAGTTGATAGAGATGATCCATCTACCTGCCCCTCCTCCTCCAGATCTCCTGGTGTTTACAGGTTAGACAAAGACTGAAGGCTCCTGCAGTGACTCAAATACATACACTTCCTCACCAAACACCTAATGCCTAATTCAGCCTTCGGAAGGAATGTATGAGCAGGAAAAACGATTCCCTTGTTCAATATTATTCAGTTAGTCACATATGTGAAAATATGTTGGAAGATGCTTGGAGATTGATTGCAAACAATTTTGATATGCTGAATTTAACTCAATGAGTCACAAATGGGTAAACGATATACGACTGACAGCATTAATTAAAAACTACCTGTATTTGTGAAGCATAAATGGGTTAAAAAAAAAGCCAATTAACAATCCTAAACTCAACGACTACAGCCCCTTTTATATCTACACAATATCATCTGTACAAATATCTGCTGTGTCCAGCACAAAAATCCATAAAACTATTCATCCAAATGTCGAATTCTAAATGCTTTTACAACAACACCACCAACTACAAATGACAGTGAAAATCATCCATCTCAGGTCAGTGTGTGCCGTGGTGAAGACTGGAGGTGTAAAATGGCTGGTATGGCCATGCATCTGTCCCTTCAGTCTGCACACACACGCCAAAAGCCTCTTTGTGTACATTAAAACCATCTAAAATCTACCTAAGAAATTGTTCATTTTGAACCCAGAAAAGATTTCCTAAATTCCTTTCGCCCTTTGATTATGGTGATTAAGGTTGTCTGCATTATGTAATTATGACGACACGCTGTTCATGTTAAAAACTGGAAGATCCCAAAGCCTGCTGTAGGAAAAACCCAACTCAGTCTTTATATCTGGGGCATGCTGGTGAAATAAAAGCGTTAGTTTTGCTTTAGTCTGGGCTCAGGTCGCTCAGGGTGCACAGAACAGGTCCTTTGTCTATAATTCATACAGCCAAATGGAACCGAGGAGCCGATCTGCACAAAAGCTGTCTGTGTAGAGCCACCAAGAAGTGGGGAGTGAAAACAAAATACTGCCCATGTATGTCCACTACCCACAAACAACGTGTCTACAAACAAACATCAGCCAAAATCCAAAGACAACAGAAATCAGACGGTTTACTGTGTGGGACGGAGTCCTGCAGCTCCATTTACTGACACAAAAAACTGCCAAAAAATAAATAACTACACGCAGATATTCTAGAAACGCTAAGTAAGCACCTGATTTAAAAAACTAAATAAATAATAACAGAGGTATATGGAAATGATAGCAAAAAAAAAAAGCTTACAAAAATGTATTTTAAAAAAAAAAAATTTTTTTTTAACAAAAAAAAAAAAAGGACAAAAAAAAATAATTGTTTGGTTTAAATTCTGGTCCAATTAAGGCTAGTGTTTTAATTTGACCTCATCATTGTCCCTCTAGTCTGCAAACAACCTCATTAACATGATAATAAGAATAATCAGAAAAATCAATACACAGGAAAAGATAATTCTGTACATCAAGAAGCAGAAAAATGACAATAAATGATAATGAGATGTGAAAATTCTATTGGATTTGTAGCGAGAAAGTAAAAAATGTACACACACTACATGTTAAATATCAGTTATTTACTCTGCTGGGGAACAAATGATATATTATGTATTTATGATTAGGTTAAATTAAGAAATAATTTTCTTGGACAAGTTTTCCAATATGTAAGGAATCCTATTTACTCCGTTAATCTTCATGTTTTAAGCACCTGTCAGAAGAGGCTGAATGCTCCCTTTGGCTCTAACAGCCGCAGTCACCCCCCCCCCCCCATAAACAATAGGGCATCCCTTATCTTCCTGTCGCTTAATGCTCTCCAGAGAAGCCCATTTTAGACTAAAAATACTCATCTTAAAACATACTATCAAATCTAGTCATAAGTATCCTTAGTTGTGAATAATATCTTCCAGTCCCTAAACACTTGGAATCAGGTCCAGTTTTCCCATCTGTCTCCATCCACCTGGCATTTGTTTAAAACATAAAACCAGACAAATTCCACTTTACCTCATACTGGAGGTACTGCTTCCTCCACTCCGGCGTGATGTGGGACGACAGATGCTCTGCGAATTTCATGCTGGCGGAAATAGAGCGCGGTACCGGCGGTTAGGTCCGGGAGCGGCGGTCCCCTCTCCGTGGACGCGACTTTAGTTGTGCGGGGGGGGGAACTTGCTGGCTCGACGCGCGGCGGTGCGGTGCGGTGCGCGCGGCGCTGCGCTGCGCTCGCGGCTGCGCTCCCTCTCACTGCGCGCGCGGCTCGTCCCGCTCGTGCCGGGCCGTGCCCCGCGCGCTGTGGCCCGCGGCGGGCCTCCGGAAACAGGTGGTCGGGCGGAGCGGGGCTCGGTGACTCTGCTGGGGCCCTCCCTGGACACTTGTGGGGACGTCGCGGTCCGCCATGCGCTGGACAGGGCGGCGGAGTTGCGTCAGCAGCGCGCACGAGCAGCGCGCACGAGCAGCGCCGCTGCTGGGACCTCCCGCAACCGGGTGGCGCGCATCCAAACCCCCCCGCCTCGCTTTTGGTTTGATCACAGTCTCTGTGTGTGGAGCTTTTCAACTTTTTGTTGAGTGTCTGCAAATAAAGACGGAAATCCTCCTCTGAAGACAGAATATAGTAACACACGCTGTCACCCAAATAAATCCAGATTTAAAGCGGTGATACAGCAGTTTCACACCCCAGGACAGATCCTGTGAGACGCACTCATCACACATTTAAATTGGTGGGAATATTGAAGAAATACTCAAGCAACGATGGTCATTTCCTATGAATGCTGCCAGACTTATTTAATTGAAAAATAACGCATTTAACTTAATTTTCAATACAGAATATGCATTTAAAGTTCAGTATGTTGAGTAGCGACTGCTACGTTCAAATAAATGCATAAAAAACACCTCCCTTAAATAAGAATTCTATATGATTGGGAAAAAATTCAAACATAATTGTTAATATAATCAATAACTTTCATTTTTGTTTAATTGCAAGGATTTTTAAAAGCTACAACACCCAAATAAACTTAAAAAGAGGATCCAACGTATTGTTAAACTACAATGAGCCCCTCTGTCTTTGTTCTACTAATGATAGACTATGGATGCACAAACAATGACACACAGTCTATGTTCTTAGTCCACATTCATCTGTAAGTGGGACAGCAAATTGGATTCTTGATATAAGCTATTGTTCATACTTTTGGTCCACATAGCAAAGTTTCTCCAAGTACATCTTAATAGGCAATATTTTGTTTTTTTTAATGTAGTCATTATTCTGCTCATATGCTCCAAAGTTACATATTTATGGAACATTTAATTAGAAAAGCTGCAATGAGGGTGAAATCAAACACATATAATTTATTAACTGCTCTTGTTCTTAAGCGATGACCCGTGGATGACCCATGCATTGAAACCAGGGTTTTGCTGCAAAGCCAAAAGTTTCTTCTGACTGGGTGAGGAGAAACAGGGGGTCAGGAGTCTCCCATCATAAGGCCGGGTTAACTGGCTTCTCCTGGACACAGATGAGGGGTCCTTCAGACACTCAACCCCGACTTGCTGTGTGACTAAGTAGCATCACTGTAAAGCTGAGTCTGGACAGGCTGTGTATGAATGGGGGAATGTGCTACTCTATGTAGCGTAAATAGTTTGTCGTTTTCATTATGTGCATGCTTACTGCAGTTACACCTGAGTTCTTATTTTACAAGAGAAGCAGATCAGACAAACCCTCCATTTTTTATTAACTTGCATTTCAAATGTAGCCAGATATATATGCATGCATGCTTTGGTTATGGTAACTTATTCTCAAAAGTTTTGCCAGTTTTGTCACTTTAGTGAGATCAGTTAAGTAACTAAAATGTAAACCTATATACTAATTCTATTTAGAAAGTCAAGTTAAAGTTTGTTTTAATAAGTTATACATGAGATATTTTGTTTGCACTATTTGATATAGTCGATACAACAAACCGTACAAAATCAGTATGCCCCCTTAATTTTAGTTGCATTAAAATGCTTTGATATGTTTAATTGAAAAGTAATCTGATTTGAGGACAACAGTTCAGCTGCCACAATCCTAAATCATACCTGCATCAACAGTAGCCTCTGCTGGACATAATGAGGGAATGCATAACGCCGTGCAGAGAGCAGAAAGTGCGAATGCTCTTCTAATTAAAAATAAGCATAAAAGATTGATACAGTTTTAACCTTTCCCGGTGTGATTACATCTACTCGATTACATTTATGAGAAAAAAGTACTTACTTCAGTTCTTCATTAATTCCTAAACTAAAAGGTGTATTCCATTATTTATATGGCTACCTCAAGCGATTTGAAATATGAAAAACTTTTATCAAATGTATAGGTAAGTCCATTCCAAATCATTCCAAAGTTATAATGAATATATATATTTTTTTAATTTACTCGGTGTTGAAATTAGGATTTTAGATTTACCAGCAAACGTGGCGCAATTGGAAGTGGAACGGGCGGAACTATTTTTCGCAGCAGTGGGAGAGACCGGCGGTTTTACTGTACAGTACCTGCGATGGACCACTGACGGAAATAAATCCGACTGTCGCGGAATCTTTACGAAAACGGATTAAACACGCCTAAATATCCACAAGCAAAGTCATATCTCACACCTGCTCTGCGCTGGCTGAACGTTTCTCCCGAGGGTCCACGGGTCTCGTCGTCCGGGGCGACACACTAAGACAATAACAATGGCTTCAGGTTCACCGTCGTCCTCTCCGGACACTGCGACGGGCTCGGGTACGGATCCAGCCCGGCCCGACACGGGGGAGCCTCTCGGGGGAGCGGGCTCGGACTCGGACTCTGACGTGGGCTTGGATAAGTTTGACTGCAGCGCCATGGAAATGGGGGACCGGCTGGAGGGGGACGAGCTGGAGCAGGAGTTTGAATCCGCGGCGGACCGAGTCAAAGACCTGATCCAGACGGCCAGCCGGGACCAGCTTCTCTACCTGTACGCGCGCTACAAACAGGTGAGCCGGAGTAGAGGCACGCCTCGCTCTGATTGGAGCACCCGGGGCAGGTGGCCTCAATCGAGGGGCCATGCTCTGTGTTCTGTGGCCCAAAGCTACAAGTTCAGTTCATGTTTTAGACTCACTTAATCCCACACGAGTTGAATGGTTTGTTCTTTAAATCACAGGTGAAGGTGGGGAAGTGCAATACGACAAAACCCGGCTTCTTCGATTTTGAAGGACAGAGAAAATGGTATGTTGTCCACGTTTGCTGACCATATGTCATTGAACTGCTTTGGAGATACAAACCAGACATGTTGAAACGGTTGCCCTATTTAAACATGTCTGGTTTGTTTCTCCTTTAAACTGAATTAAGTGTGTTTGTGGATGTTGAAGACAAAAAAAAAAAGGTTTCTGTAAAATGGACAAACTCAGATTATATTAGAAAGCACACGTGCTGAAATTCTGGGGGGTGTTTACAAGCTTTTAAAAAGTGCTCTTTGTTTTAAAGGAGAACTTTAATTGGAACTTCACCTCGGTTTTAGTTATAAATATTTACATAGATGATTCCTTATTGCTTTTGTTCACCACTTTTGTGAACTGATTGTGAGAGTTGTGTTGTGATTACAGGCAGGCGTGGAAGCAGCTTGGAGACATGGAGTCGGAGCAGGCAATGAGGGAGTACATCTCCTGTGTCAACATCTTAGACCCTGAAGGCGCCACAAAGGTAAACCTCTATATTTGTTTCAGAACTAACAGATGATCAGTTGGATTATTTGTTTGTTTTCAACAAAGACGGTATCTTTAACTCATGGGCTTGGACAAACATGAGAATGTTTTATCTCCAAAGAACCAGAATGGGGATTTTGAATGACATAGGGGTGTCTGGCTCATCACCATTCATAGACAGTGTGTAGAAAGTTCTGTTTTTTTGTTGTTGAATTGCTCTTTATGTGATAGCAAAGAGGAGATGCTCACTCATAAATCTCTCTACCCTGAAATTCCTCATGTGTTTATCATAAGCTGTCATGAGGGCAAATTAAATGTAGTGCACAGTTATTGCCACTAGATGTCAGTGTTGCATTATCTTGGTAGAGGCTGATTTTTTTCTGTGTATGCAGCATGAAAAGTAGAAATAAATATAGTTTCTTTAATCTTTTATATACGATAATAGAAATATTGCAGCTAAATAAAAACTGTTACTGTCCGTTGGTATGGTGGCTGTTCACCTCTCTTTCCCACTTCTGCGTCGTATCATCTGTTTCTCCAGCTGTGTTGTCCTGGGCAGCCTGTCCTCTGGGGGGGGGGGGGGCAGGGGAACAGTCACAACAAAAACACTGTGCTACTGTCAGGGGATTTGGGAAAGGCTTAGAATTGGGAAAACAATGAAAAAACAAATGCTGTTCGTTCACATCATCATGTGTTTTAACAGTAGATGGTGGGTTACCGTTTTAAGTGGTAAAAATATTTTTGCAAGAAAACAGTAGCATTTGAAACTTATAAAACAGCACAATTCTAAAAGCAGCACGGTTGTGGTTTATGTAAATGATCATAATGACAGGAAATATGGCTCTTCTCTAAATATAGTGTCGTAAACTATGACTATGGGGATGCTCTATCTATATATGTTTAGTTTGATATTTAAATTATCTGTAACATAGATATATATAATTAAAAATCTATTAAATTATTTTCATAGGGGGTAGCTTGCTGGAATCTCTCCATTAGAAACCATTATCATATCAAATATGTTTTTTATTTTGGCAGCTCAGGTAGGACCCTTTTGTCAACCTACTTCCACCCAAACAATGTCCAGTTGAAGCTGACTGCACGAGAGTGGTGGGTCATGAAGGTTTCTCACAGTTTAGATGCATGCTCTGACTTATCTTCTCACAAGTGACAGTTTTTAGAACTATCTATATTGTTCATAAAGGTTAAGTCACACGTCTCTAGTGTGCAGTGTTACCCAAGATTAGTCAGAGCAAATTCTGAAGGATCTGCCTCTCTGCCCATGTTGAGGGTCATGCACTGTAACATCTGTCTGTCATATGTCCGATTAGCATATAGACTAGCATTTACACTCTCGCCTCTCTTTAACACTCGATTCCCATCATCCTCAGTCCAAAGGAGATTATGCTTGATTCAAGTGAATCTTTTCTTATATTTTGTGGCATTTTTTTTCTCTGAAATTAAACTTGTGTTAAGTAAAACTCATAGCTGACTCTGTGAGGATTATCGTTTTCTAAATGGAAAACATAATAAATACTAAAACTCCTAATGAATATGACATAACTGCACAAGTCTAATTTGTATCACCTTTTCCTCTGGAGTATTTTCCTTAAAACCCATACTTCACTTCTGTGTTACTTTTGTTGTCAGAAATTAAAATGTGACTTTTAAAATATTTTAGAGATTGAATCCATGCAATGTTAGCATGATTAGGTCTGTTGATTAAATAATTTAGTTAAAAGCTTATAGTGAAATTGTTGATCTATAAGCTCTATTTCCTTTTTATTCTCCCTGCTGTCGCAGACTCAATTTTTTTTTTTTTAAAGTGTGTCCAAAATATGGCAGGTATTCAAAGGCATTTTATTTCTAATTCTGGACACACTGCTAGCACAAATGGAATAAATTAAAAATTTTTAATGTAGTTTGATGTTCCTATTTTATCAAGGGTGGATTTCGAAGTGTATTTTGCAAAAGAAGACACAGCAAAGTAAAAAAAAAAAAAAAGACTGGCAAAGAAAGAGGCCTTCTCTTCAGCCTGTTGAATATTATTGACTTGTTGGCCCTTCTCACATATATGTACAGTGAGGCCATTAATACGCCTTTTCACATGCAGTTTTGCACATGTTTTCCTGGTGGCTCTGTGAAAAAGAGAGAAACTGGAAGCGTTGAATGCAAATACTGAAAGGAAAGTGTATTGTAAAACCTTATTCTTTAGTTATCTGTCACTGATGTATTAAAATTTCTCTAAAGAAGAGTTTTCACACAGTTTCATTTGCAGATGCCATCCTAATAACTGTGTAAGGGGTTTTGTAAATAATATAAACTAGAACTACCACCTAAACTCCACCTGAATGTGTGTTGAGCCCTCACAGGTGTGCAGACTGCTTTTACTGTGGAATACCCCGTAGGCATGGAGAGTCAATGTCAGGTCACAACATATGGAAGATATGGAAAAGTCAAGCACAGCTGCAAGGACACGGAATATGTTCTCTTTTTCTTTCAGAACAGAAAGAAAAATAGATATTTAAGTGTTTGTCTCGTGTTTTCTGCTGCTTGGTTCTTGTTTACCGCCTGTGTGCTGCCTTTAATCTGTCTTCTTTAACCCTATCAGCCTTTTTTTCTGCATCCATTCTTCCTTTTTCTTTGCTCCTCTTCCTCATTTGTGTTTCATTTTGGTAGTGTCACGTCCAGTCCTGACACGCCGGTGTGAGGCAATGCTCGCTGACTCTGTCCCCAGTTGCACAAAACCGAGCCAGAGGCCAGAGAAAGCACAGGCCCCACCAGCACTATCAGCACCAGGAAAAAAGAGAACCTGATTGTATTAGAGTTAACAAAGCACCACAGCATGGCAGCAGCCATTCATTTGGAGGAACAGTTAAATGGTGTAAGTAGGACTGCATAGACAGACAAGCAGGGGAGAGAATAATAGCCACAATCTGACCTCTGTTCCTCTCAATTGTTGAGCAGACACTGGCATTATATTGCATTATACTGCAGAAGAGCAGGAACGGAGCATCAGCGAATATTCTGACTTTCTGAAGTGAATTAGGTTGTCCCAAAAGTGCATGCACAGTTGTTTTGCTTCTCTTGTCATGTTCTCCCTACTCTCCCCATTACCCCCTTTTTCTAAAATCAGATTTGTGTGGGTTCTTTTGTAAGTCGGGGTTGGTTAGCAAAGAATAGTCCGGCTAATAAAAGTCTTTGTTGAGCTGACTGTAATATGAAATTCCTTGAAAACACAAAAGATTGCCAAGAGGTTCAAACTGAGCCATGTTGTATTTTAAAGCTCTTTGCATTCATTTAGTGGGTCATTATAAGCGATGAGGTCATACCCAAGCAGTTGAGGGTTATTTTAAAATTCCACTTTGGGAATTTGTCACACATTAGATGTAGGAAAAAAATACAATAGGTCAGGGGCAATAGGTGAAGCCTTTGATGGAGAGAACATGGGCCCAACGCTTTATTGCCTTCAGACAAAACGGCGAGGCCAAATCCTTTGACAGCGTGGAGCCACAATAGTCCGGCTGGGTTTGTGGCCTGGGACGGGTGGTGGACTGTACGCATTGAACTGGGGAGAGTTATTGGTCAGTGCTGTGTTGTTCTCGCAGGAGAGGCGAGGAGCAGAGAGGAGGACGGGCTTCGGGGGAGCTACAGTCAGCTCTCTTTACCAGGAGGAGATGATCAGGTATGGCCGTCAGAATAAAGCCGGACACCACCCACCACACCCCGCCCTCTGCCAGGTGCACTGAAGGCTACCGGAAAGGCATCAGAAAGTATCCCAGTGGTACAGCGTGCAGCTGAGCCGCAGCCTCCTGGCCTCACGTCTGAATCCCCTCCTGTCATTGTCAGCTCAGCTATTGTTAACCTGCATTTGATCATATCCAACAGACCGGAACTGCAGGGAGAACCTGGAAACATCATACAGTTGTAATTTATGTTAATGAAATAGATCTTCCATTTACTCTCGCCTGGCAGACTTACTGAAGCTTAGAACCCCCCCCCCCCATCTTCATTTCAATGCAAAAAGAAGTCTTTCGGAGATGAAAATGAGATGTATGAATCGTGCAGGTTTTCCTCCTAAATGGGTGTGTGTGATTAGTATGCACGGTCTCGGAAGAAGCGTCCAGAGTCTTCCCTTTTTAATTACTGGGGGTGGGTGGGGGGGGGGGGGGGGGGGGGGGTGGGGGTTGATGAGGACACGCAGGGCACAGCAGAGCAGGCAGGAGCAGGAGACTTCCCAGAACCAGGATCCTCTGGTGATCTCCGTTAGCAACGATGCCCGCTGGGAATCCGGCCAGCAGGAAGCCGGTTACACACAGCAAACACACACACACACACACACACGCCAGCACGCACTTCTGGCTATATGTTCCAATGATTTCCATCCGAAGCCATGAATAACTTGCCAGTGGTGTCACACTCACTGCTCGACTGCATTTTAATTTTCTCTTCTCACACACAAACACACTCCATTTAAACACCTAAGCACCTGTTAACCAGGCTGAGTTAATTGCACTGCTCTCTCACTGTGTGTGTGTGTTCGGTGTGTGTGTGTGTGTGTGTGCGCGTGTCGGATCGACTAAACCTAAGATTGATTAGCGATATCCCTGAACTACTGAGCTGATCACTCTGTGATTGAGCAGGTTCTGAATGCAATCCTCTCCCCACCTTGAGAAAGGATTCCGGTAAACACTGGAAGCTTTGTTCTCTGAACTCTGTTGCTGGAAGCCAACCCTGAGTTATTTGAGCGCTCATTGTTTCGTGTTTCTGCCACGGAGCTCCGCCACCGGGAGAGCCGGGACCCAGGTCCAGCAGAGAGCGCGATGAGGGATTGTGGAGGTGTGTGTTTGATGGATGGTGGGCCGTGTGGCTGATCAGGGGAGCTGGGAGCAGGTAGATGAGTATTCCCCACCACAGTGACCAGCCGGGCCTGATGGATGAAGGACATATCTGCCACTACACCGGACTGGACACACATGTGGGGACACACGGCTTTCTCACGCACACACTATTTACACGGCCACAAAAGCCCCCAGTCCCTCAGTGATGACAGAGTAGCCTGTGACCTTCACAGCATGCTTTGCGGCGCTGTTGATGTCATGCTGTTTATAGGACCCACATTAATCATTTGTTTGTTTATGGCCTGTGTGTGTGTGTGTTTATTTGTGGATCCATGTGTGTCCTCATAAAAGATCACCACCACATGTTTGGACTGTTTGTTCCCCGTTTTCTTTTTTCGTTTTGTGTTTATCTGCTAAACAGCCTCTTAAATGTGTGTATAGGCCAGTATCTGTGTGTTATATATCCATGTCAGACATCAGTCATTTTAACCCTGTCCAGCCATCAGCCAAAGACTGATGAGACGGCCTATTGATTAGGTGCCGGGGGAGACTGATGGCGGCCACACATCAGGGACAGTTGGGGTCACAGTGGCCATCAGACAAGGAAGTGGGTGTGGTTGAGAACACGGGCTCATGAATATACATAGCAGCAGTAATCAGGAGTATGCAAATGAGCGTGCTCATACATAACCTGGCTGTGATAAAAGTGTAATGAGTTCTTCATAATTCAGCGGGCTGATGAGGGAACGGAGGCGAGGGCAGGAACAGGAACAGGAGGAATGGTGGAGACGGGGCACGGAGGTGAAGAGCTGGGAAATGAAGTGCAGAGGACTATCAGGCAGCACATATCACAATATCAGGCCGCACATATCACAATATCAGGCCGCACATATCACAATATCAGGCCGCACATATCACAATATCAGGCAGCCAATGAAACGGATGAAACTTTTTTTCCGCCTTGTTGTACGCCAAGGTAGGTCTGACAGAAAAAGATTCCTATAAAAACCATACTTCCCTCAGAACATTGTTTAAAACATCTTTTGAAGCACTAGTTGTGTTAACTACACATCCCATCCAAGACACACCGACTTCAAATGTGTATCATTGTTGAGAGCTGCTATATTTTATAACTTGAGCCAATGCTATGGCATAATTTTAGTTTAGCTATAGTAATGCTTGCCTCCAAACCTAAGCTGCCTAATTTTGAGCTAGTTTGATTAGATGCTGTGCTCATGGGGATTTTTTGTGTGTGTGTTTGTCTTTAATTTTTATTGATTAAATAACACAATTTAAGAGTTATTGGCTTCATCTGAAGGAAACATTTGTCAACAAAACGGTACTGCTTGCATTCAACTGCAAACGTAACCGAAGCTTTCAAATGCTTTCAAACACACTTTTTATCATCTTTAAGAATAAAGTGTTTGCTTTGCTTAGTTTCAAAGCAAATGCTATGCCCTGTGGAAAAGATTTTCAGGCATTGGAGCACAGCTTTGTGTTTGAATCAATCAGCACAATAAAGACTCAATACAGCACAAATAGTTAAACTAACAAGCTGAAAATGTGGGATAGTGGTTCCAGCTGCCCGCTGGCCTCAGGGTTTATGGGGGGGCTCGGAGGCTCCTGGATGGCTGGCGTCAGCCCCGCGCTCCGGGGGCTGTGAGGTCCAGGGCAGCCACGCTAGTGCTCTCCAGAGACGGGGCTGTGGGGCTTGGCTTTGGGAAGGGCTGAGTGACTGCGTGGGAGTAGTAAAAGCATCAGGTATGCGGGGTTTCGGGCAGACAATAGCACACTAAATTCAATTAATCTGAATGGCAGGGATGGGTGAGATGGAGGGGAAGGCGTAAAGCTCTAAATGAGATTTTAGTCCCTCCACCCCCCCACCCAACATTTCTCCTCCTACCATCAGTGCACCCCCACAGCACTCCCTACTGTCCCCAGTGCCAGCAGGTGATTAGAGACGCACAGATAGAATTAGAGGTGGGATGGTGTCGCTGTGCCCCCCCGGGATGTGGCTACATCCACCACACCCCCCTGCCCCAGCATGGCAAGACATGTCAGTCTTTTAATGACATGTTTGTTTCCTCTAGGAAGGAGTTAAAGTGGCTGTTCAGCCAAATTGTGACGGACAAGAGGTTATTTGCTCAGAATCAGAAATACTTTCATAATTCCCAGAGGGAAATGATTTAAAACCAAAAAAGACTAAACCACTACTGTGACTATTTATGAAGGATTTTTTAATGTTTCCTGGCTATTTGACTTTACATATAACGAACAGGCCTAACTCAGCAGGTAAAACCTGAGTAAAGCCGTCTGCCTCTTTAACCCACACTTACAGCTCCACCGGTCCTGTGAGTGTCACATAAATCATTAAATAAGTGACGGTGGCTGACTGTGCTTTGTTTTGTTGTGTTTTTCCCGTACCGCTCTCAGAGAAGAGGATAAAAACATCTTTGACTACTGCAGAGAAAATAACATCGACCATATCAGCAAGGCCATCAACTCCCAGAAGGTGGATGTCAATACTAAAGACGAGGAGGTAAGAAACCATGTTGGCTTTGGCTGTGGTGGTTTGTGTGTGAGAGCTGCTGTAATTGGAGTTACTTTAACTTATTATTACCGTGACCAAACGGTCATTTGTATGCTTAATGCTGTTTTTGAAGTGGGCTTAGAGCTTTATATTGTTTCTGTACCCCCATCTGGCTCACTGCTATGCTCTGACCTGTCGTGCAGGAGGGCAGGGGAAAATCATCAAAGATGTGTCATAAAACAAAAATGCAGGTCACTGGGGGGATAGATCATGTGGCTCATTTTGCAGTTGTTACATAATTGTTTCTGTGGCCACACACACACATACACACACACACAGAGGAGCCGCTGCTTAGGGCTGAAATTGCAGAAACGGTCATTACCATCATGAGGTGATTTCTGGACTGACCCTGAAATCCACTCATCTGTCTTTGATTCATTATCAGTCTGGCCAAATGGCCTGCTCCCCGCCTTTCTTTCATCACAGTCGTTCTTCATATAAACAGGCAGCCAGCAGCTGAGTTCACAGTCAAAGGCCAGATGGCTGTGGGATCACTGCCGGGATGCTTTGTCTGTTCTCAGCCATTGTTCACCGTGCACGTTTTGTAGTTGTGCTCATGGACCAACAGAGGGCAGTGGTGAAGTTTCTCATTTGTGGACGGAGGGAGATGGTGTCCCATCACTTCCTCTAAGGCTTTGCCACCAAAACAGCAGCTATTACACACTGCTGTAGGACAGGCCAATGGTTTCAGAACACATACTGAAACAATTTGTAAACCAGGCAGTTTTCCAGGTCAATTCCTCCTCTTGGTCCGATAAAACCTAGATTATGTGGTAACCCAAACTTCTTCACATGAATAACAAATTCCCCTCTGCCGTTCACTTTACAGTTAAACAAAAGTTAGAAGGCATAGCGACCATCTCCGTCACATGCTCTGCTATTTTCCATTCTAAAATCATCAAACGGCTCACATTTTCAACTATTTTTATTTGAACTATTCTTGCCCCTTGTTTAAATATAAAATTTGAACGAATAATAAATGTTTTCAGTGCCTCACAGGGAGGGTTTTGCTAACCACTGCTTCCATAAAGTGCACATACAACTGTGTGTGTGCAGATAAAATGTGCCCAGCAGTCAGCAGCAGAACACCTGAGAGAGAAAGACGGGGATGGAGGCCAACTTATTGGTATTCTGGCCTGAATCATAAGAACCCATTTTAACATGCTGCCTCGGTGATCAATATGATTTAAGCAACAGAATTGGACTTGGAGAGTTTGCTTTACCTAATTGGCCTCACTGAAAAATGAGCTTGTGTGGTTTTATTAGAACAAGCATCTGAGACCTAAGGAGAGTGTGTGAGTAGGTGTGTGTGTGTGTGTGAGAGGGAGAAGGGGATAGCTCATGGTTTGCACACACAGTGCCATCAATCAGGCCTTAGAGAATCTGTGCAGGATTCTGCAATTTGTCCCGGAGTCGTGGGTCTGTGCTCTTACCGGCACACACACACCCGGGCTCCACATATCTCACTCTGTCGTAGCAGATCTCAGCTTTTAAAGTAACGACTGGTGATATAGTTGTTGTTTTTTTTTGTTTGCTTGTTTGTTTGTTGTTTTAAAAAATTCTGTTTGGTCTTTTTTTTTGTCTTTTTTCCCTGTGTTTTGTCTTTTTTAATGCATGAGTTCCAGTGGGGGATGCCTGGTAGAGAGGATGCTGTGTGTGTGTCCCTACTGGGACTCTTGCATCTGTATTGAGTCGGTGTGGTGCTTCTCTCTGCAGGGCCGCGCTCTCCTGCACTGGGCCTGTGACAGAGGGCACAAGGAGCTGGTGTCTGTTTTACTGCAGCACAAAGCAGACATCAACAGTCAGGTTAGACACCCTTTTTTTCTTCCATCTTTCCTTTTGTGGGGATTTTGTCTAAAATGTAACGTTCCCATAAAACGGATAATTATCTGCTGAAGATATGAAAGGTGGTGTAAATATTGGCATGACATTGAACAAAGGCTGCTTAATTTCTCATCTGAATGGTCACTTGGAAGTCAAAGCCTTGCTTCAACCTTCTTCTAGATATATTTGATCATTTTTCCTTCAGATGTGCAGGAAACCTGAGCATTATGATTGAGCTTTTTCAGACATTCAGTAAAAACTTTCAGATCTTGTAAGATTTTGTGCAAATAATTGTTGCTTTTACCCGGCAATCCGTGTAGAAACGGAATACAGGAACAGTAGCACGACTGCAGAATGGGTTGAAGAACATAACTTTGATGCACATGTGACTTAATATTGTGGTCACTGTTGAATGCCTTACTTTTGAATATATTTTGTTACTATAAAAACAGTTTCTGAAACATGAAGGAATTTTATGAAATGTTAAAATAAGGAATTAAATCTGTGTATATAGTTTTAGCTGTTAATGAGCCATACGGTGGGCAGAATTTGAACATTGTGCTTTACGTGATGCTACATTCAGATGGATGGAAAATCGGCCAAGTTGTTGGCATGGATGCACCCACATTAAATCACAGATCAAGGCCTTTTCCCTTCCCTCTTGAATGTTTTTTTTCTTCTTTGGCCTATAGAATCATCTTTTATCACACGTCACTCTTATTTTGTACACTTGAGATGAACACTTCTCTGTTTCTGCAAAGTTTGCCGAATACATGACCCTTGTTGTCTAATTCAGTTTTGAGTTCCATTCCTGGATGAAGCTGATAGTGTTCTGAATTACCTTATTTTTCCAAGGTATTCCAGAGTCTATGAGTATATATTGATCGTGATGTGTTGATGGATTCCCATGCATGGCCGCCTTAGTGCTTGAAGGTCCCGTTTTTTGATTGTGCTCTTTGCCCTTGGCCTTTTTTGCTATGTGTTGATTATTCTCTGCCAGAGTTTGGCACAAAGTGGGGAGTTTATTCCCAGTCATGACACTATTGCCCGTCACCTCTTAGTCTGCTCCTTTTCTAATCTTCCTGAACAGTTCCTTCTTTAATGTGTAAAATGTTCTGCTTGTCTTTACCTCTCAGAACATTTTGTGGGGTGTTGCTTTTAATTCATTGAAGCTGTTCATGGGGTGGTTCAAAAGTATTTTTTTGTCATTTTAAAACCCTTCCAAACTTTTCCGAGAAATGGATCCTGGACCATATCAGAGGTGAAGGGAAAACTGAGTGGAGCATTATGACTCCTTAGGCACACATCTAAAGGTGTGCTCAGGTAAACTATGGGCTGACATTCACATCTCCAGCATCCCTGCAGCCCTTCCTGTCCATCTTTCCATACTCCCCATCCCTTTCAGAAGGTCACCTTTAATTCACTTTGTCCCACATAAATCCCTCTGGGAGTTAGCTCGTAGCTAGCCTTGTTTTTTAGGCTCCCCCAGCATTAGCAGCAGGCTTTAGCTTTGGCGGTAAGCTGGCTCAGCTGCACATCGGAGAAATTACTCCCCTTCCCCGAGCAGCAGGACCACAGTGCAGCTCTCCGGGCTTCTCACTGAGGCTTTAACTGTGTGGACAAATCAATTGGAAGTAATCAGGCAAATTGTTTTACGTTGCACAACCCACATAATCAGGACATTTCACAAATGACTTTCTCTTTTGTGGTCATGCGTGGGCCTTTTGTTTTGAGCGTTTGCGGGGAGGGGTTGGACTTAACAGTGGGATAACTACGAAACAATTTACTGATGATTTACAGCCGTATCAAGATAATGACAGCAGAGAGGGGCTGATGTATAGATGGAGGCTTTTGTCCTTTTTTTAAGATGTAGCACATTTGCAGTCCTCTAGTATCCATCATTAGAATATAAATTATTATCTCTCTAAGTGCTAAGAGTTTTCAACAGTCCAAGCAAGAAGCATAAATCTTTGCCCAGGTAGTGATGTTTAAATGGCTGAATTTCCCTGCATCCCTTTGTGTCTGTGTCCACTTAACCTCATATGACAGTGTGTTTCTTTCCTTTTCCACATAAAGCTGTAATAAATGGCCAGTGACTGTAAACGGTCTAACTGTTTAAAATGGTCTTTTGTTGTGTACATGAAGTGTGGAATATTTCAGCTTGCATTTCCGTATCAGGATTAGCAGCTTCTGGAAGCACAGACATTAGCTAAATTAGCAACTTCAAGACCTGTCCAGCTGCCAGTCTCTCAGGTGTCAGAGGGAGTCTGCTGTGGAGACTGGCTGAATATTACTGAAACTGGACCCTGGAATCGGCTTCCTGGGGGCAGATTTATGATCTGGTAAAGACGGAGCAGCAAGGAAAAATACAGTCAGCTAAATCATACCATTCTGTCACCATGCCAAATTATCTCACTATGTAAAGCTTACAAAACGATATCCTGCTCATTAGAACATGCTTGAACATCCTTCAAGGTGAGATGAGACGAGCAGAAAAGTGTAAAACAGGAAATGGCTATATTTGACACTGAGAAAGATTTAAAAATGTAATGGAAAGCTTTAAGCTCATTTTGCCCAAAGCGCTTTAACATGAAACAAAGAGAACGTGAGATTGTGCTCCTGAAGAGAAATATTTGGTTTTTTTTTCAGTCTGTTGGCGCGACCCGTAATCTCTCTTGACCTCTACCAACTGCCGAGCAACCAGTAAATAAAGATCAAACACGATTTATGCTTAATTTGTTGATTAAAAAATGGGGGGGGGCACTTTAGAGTTAAAACAAAAAGTATTATTATTTGGCTTGGCAGAGGAGTAAAATCGTTGGAAATTAATCAACTGATTGTTTTAGCGAATTGTTCTCAAACCCTGGTAACCTGCATTAAAGGCTTGTTTGATAGTTAATCCAGGATCAAGGGACCACAATAGGTAGCTGCGAGTGTTTGAATACACAGATCACAGATCTGCCACCTGCCAACTGTAGCTGAGGCCTGGAGCTGTACGCTACATTAAACCTCACCGTGTCGGCTCCCAGCTCCCAGCAGAAGTGGGGCAGGCTGCAGCAAGCCATGCCCAAAGGATGACAAGCAAGCCGTACTCTGTTTGATAATGAAAATTAAAGTTTAAGTACAGATTTGTTCTTTGTGGCAGAGTATATTTAAACACATTAATGAGGAATAGGCTTAATTTAAGGGCATTCCATCATAGCAGCAGTGAAAACTAATCCAAGCCGGATGTGTAAATGTGGCCCTAAATTTTAGTCGTTTAAAAAAGTTTAAATTATTATTTCATGATAAGAAGAATAATTTCCGGTATGTTGAACTACAGTAACCTCCTATATCATGACTGGAATTGATTTAGATAATTTATTCCTTTGTATTTCACATATGTATATATATTTTTTTAAGTTTAAAAAAAAAATTCATTTTGTTAATGATATTGTTTTAATCTTATGAAAAACACATCACTATGTGTGTTAAAATCTGGGCAATTTAAGAATGTTCTTCCCCAAGACACAGCAGTAGAAGGATTTTTGTATGCAATTACAAAAGTCTCACTTTATTGATATTATTAGGGATAGGTTACCACAACTAGTTTTTCACATGTTTGATTATAGTTTTTTTCACTTGTTGTATTTAAAGCATCCATGTGCATTCTTACCACTCTCTGTAACCAAATTCCTTTCACACCTTGGATGGGGTCAGGAAGCAACCATAGATTGTCCAGACAGAAGTCTGTGTGTTACTGACCATGTGAGCTCTGCCTGAGGTCATCCACATCCAGGTGCTGTTCAAAACCCCACAGCACCCCCCCCACCCACTCACACCACTTTAGTTTTTCAGGTGAAAATCCCTGATCCTCCTCTGACCTTACCAGTAGGCTTTCAGGCTGCCATGGCAATCCGCGTTTGCAGATTGGATTTCCCCGTTCCTGGGAAGTGAAGTTAGAGAGGTTACAACTCAAACAAAGAGGAGAAATGGTCCAGACTAGAGTCTCACAATGTCTGACTTTAGTCTGGGATTAGCGTAGGCTACGTGACAGAGGGAGGATTAGGCTGACAAAGGCAGGGGACAGGTGAGATGCAGGTGAACCATACATCAGCACAATGCTAGGAAGGAAGGAAACATGGCGGTCCGGCTTATGAGGGCAGATGAGGAGGGAGGAAGGCATGGCAGGTTTTAAACACATGGCCTCGAATCACATGCTTTCACTCGACTCTTGCTTTTTTTTGTCTCTACGTCAGTCTTTCTCTGTTGCTTCTACCCATCACTTTCCCCTCCCCCATGTCCCCTCTCCCCCTTCCTTCCATCCCTCCCTCCATCCGCCTCTACTTTGTATTAAAACAACATGATCCATGAGGCGGGGAGGGCGACTCCCAGCACCGCTAATTCTAATTAATCCAGCATGGTAGCGCGACCACGGCAGGCCCCAAGCACTCCCAGTCTATCAGATAGAAATTCATAACTTAATTGAGGTCAGAGCCTCAAGCCGGCCGAACAAAAGTCTCCAGCCAGGACCAACCAGATCAATAGTAATAAATATCTGACTGGGTGGCCTACAATTGGTGGCTAAGGCGCACAACAACTTTTGTACACACAGTCTGTACTTGGGGCCTGTGCAGACATCTGGACGGTAGGGGGGGGTTGGGCTGTACACGAAAAAAAAAAACGCATATTAGTACTGTTGCTGATCTGTTTTTGAAGGGACTTTATGTTCAGACAGCATCTGAATTTATTTCCTAGTTTATCCATTTATTTATTTATTGTCGGATGAAAACATTTTTTGCAAAACATCCTTTTTTTTTTTAAACAAAAGTGTATCACAAACAGTTCAGACCTTTTAAATTTACCTGAACAAATCATTTGGATCTGTTCCTGCACACTGGTTTACAAGCAGTGAATCTTTGGCATAATTTACATTCCATGTGAATATTAAAGTTAACTAGGTAGGAGAATCTTTTCTGTTTTTTCTATTTCTTATTTGAATCAAACAAATAACACTGAATCCTCTCATCTGTGTCCTTTTGCTGTGGTGTCAAATATTTGTGCGAACAAAGTGGCACCACACACACACATGCGCACGTGCGTCTGATTGAAATTCTACGGCTGGAGCATTATTACACGTTTGTATCCCTCCCCTTTCCCAGCACTGCCTCCTATAACTAATGGCTCAGTCAGCCCAGTCATAACAAATATCCAGCCAGATTTGTCATAATTGTGTGTGTGCATGTGTGTTTGTGTGTGGGTAATCGTGCAGCCTATCTTCTTAAATGTAAAGGGTCATTAAGAAAGAAAAGGCAACGAGGTGGGGACGAAAATGGTAAAAGTCACCTGAAAATCCAGAAAAATAATGATGGAGAGCAAAATAAGAGGCAGCTCAAGCTGAGTGAACAGAAAAGTGGGATGGACTAGAGTCAAGACTAAGATCGAGGAATTTGTTGGTGTTTACTTTGATGTAAAGTTACATCGTTTCACATACTGCCATTGATTACATTTTCATTGCATCTCTCAGTACGACTTCTCATGTTTTTTCTGAAACACTCTGATGCAAAAAGTTCACAGGATTGTTTTGTATGATATTAAGGCTGCACAGTGATGTTGGCATCAGTCGTTCAGAAATAGAGGCGTTAGAAGCATTCAAAAAGAAATGGCCAGATATCAAATATTGGCAAGTTTATCAAAAACATCCATGGGATTTTTTTTTTCCTTTTTCTGTTTGAAAGAAAACTATCTTGTTTAATTTCTGTGTTTTTATTTTACGGGGTTGGCTTGATGTGGGTGTAACATGCATGTTCAACTTCCTGTTGGCGGTCGTGTTTTGCCAGTGTATTCCAGGGTTTCCTCCGTGTACTTCGGCTAACCCCTTTTTATTTATCTTTTTAAACAGCCACTGGTTTTCTCAATTTTTAAACAAATCCAAAAATTCAGACTGCATTCACAAGAGCCAGTGTTTTTTTTATAAAAATGAAACTATCCACAATTGTGTATTTACAGTCTCTGCACTGTGACCTTGCTCCCCTACAGTGAGGTTTACAGAACTGTGAAGGTTCCAGCTGCAGCTACCAGCCTACAGTAGGCCTGTGGGAACAGAATTAGACTGAAAGCAAATCGCTTTAGTGTGTGTGGCTACGTTTAGCTGCACTTACTGTGTATGTACTATGATATTTTAGATATTTGGCTCTTGGACTCTAGTGATTATGAACACACTTGTTCCATGTGAAGGTGTGGGGGTTGGAGTCTGTAAATAGCTGAGACATACGCTTTATATTCCATGAGTTCAGTTTAAGTCAGAGTTGGAGGAAAAGCAGTAAATGCATCAAAGCCTGATATCACTGTATTCGTTTGAGTGCATGTTGCATCGAGGTTAAGCTAACTTCAGTTTGCAAAGGACAGTTGGTCATCTGAAAACACAGAGACCAAACGGCATCCTTAAGATTTCACAGGTGGTCCTCGGTCTATCCAGACAGGCTGGTGGGTGGGATGAGGGAGAAACGGAGAGAGGCAGCTATCCTGAAGAGGGACCTGCACATGTTAATGCAGACCCGGAAGTAGATAATCCACTTTGTCAAGGTTCTTTTGACGGCTCCTGTAATTGCATAGGAGTTACACTGGGTTTTGTAGAGCATTGCAGGCTTTTCCACACCTTGTCCTTTGAATGATTTCTGTTGAGAAACGATAGTGGACGATTAAGCCAAAAAGGTCTTTACAAAGACACAGAAATCAGACCATACTTCTGCAGAGGATCACGTGCACATAAAAGCTACAATAACCACCTCACACAGCACCAGCCGTTTTATAGGTAACACTGTAAGCTGCTCTTACAGGACTCATATTTAGTACTTGCTACACATTAGCCAGACTTGATAAAATGAAAGCTGTTCCCATGCTGTGTTAAAAGGGCCTATCAGACAGATCCAGTTATGAATCTATAATATGAGCACTCAGAAAAGAGCCAGCAACTTGACAGTAATAGTGCAGCCTAAAGAGCCATTCCAGCAGGTAACAGTCCTCTTTGCCATCATCAGCTGTTGTTTCCTTCTTATTGGCCACTCACTAGGCCTTGCCTACACTCAACTATTTGATTTCCATCGTTCTTAACCGTCCACATAAATTGTCAGGAGCATTAAAGCTGTCCTCAACTGTTTCAGACAGAGGGGGGGGAGAGGAGAATGAGAGAGTGAGAGCAGGATTCAGACAGAGGAGGGAGGGGATGGGGGTGAGGAGAGAGAATAAACAAAGTAAGTGTTTTGCCTTCCATCAGTCTCCTGCACTACTCAGCTTTATGAGTCCCTCACTCCAAATGCCTCAGCCACAGCCCCGCTGCCCAGCCATTGATTTTCATATTACACTCTTTTATGTATTTATTTATTTCATATATTTCTTTTTAAACATCATCGATGAGCCGCGGGAGGACAGACGGGCCTCTGCTGATGTTAATTCTGAGCCCCAGCCCCATCCTCTCCGTTGATGGCTTTAATGGAGGCTAAGGTGTCCCAGGGGAATAAAGAGGCCCAGTGACCTGGGTGGAGGAGAGAAGCATGCAGGGGGGGGGGCAGGCTGCAAAAAACAAGAATCAACTGACTTCAAAGATTTTTGCACTGATTTTAGATTCAATCTAATCTAGTCTTAGACATTATTGTTCTAATTTTTTGCTGTGTTGTACTAAAAAGTTAGAGAAATGGACATATTATTGTTTTATCAAAACCCCAAAACTTCTATGTTGGTAGATGTAGATGTAGATGAGGTGGGGGGGGCTGAAGGACAGCCTGGAGATGTGAAGGGCAGCAGGTTTGAGGGGCTAATTTGACCGTGGGTGCCAGTGCTCACACACAGAGTGGCAAGGTTACCTCTCTGTGCTCAGAGAGGAGACCCAGATTGAATTAGGACTGGCCCCAGTCTGCAAATCCATTTAAAGGTGGGAGCTGGGGGGGGGGGGTGGTACATGGCAAACAAAAGGTAAAATCATGTGCAAGAACATATCAGTCTAACATCTTAACTCCCAAATCCACATGTGCAAACACTGTGATGGTGGGTAAATATTTGAATATTCATTCTGCAGTTTTAGGGATGATTATACCTTCCTGCAAGAATTTGCAACGCTCTTATATTTATTTTAAGTCAGATCTTCTGCCTTTAAGACCTCTTCACATCTCTGTCTGTCAAATGATGTTCCAGAAATGAAATGGTGCTTGTAGTGTGGAATTCACGACATTAATGATTCTGCTTTAGCTTTTTAGTGCAGCTATGTCTCCTATAACTACATTTACATGACGCCTGGACAAAAAAGCTGCTTTTTTGCAGCCGTCCAAAAGTGGATTTTAAAATGCATATAAACATGGAGCTTCTCAAAGCGGAACTCCCACCTAAATGATGCAGCTGGGGTTTGAATCCCTCTGAGTCCCTCTCATACGCTGTGCAAGACTCAAAACCGCTGGGCTCTTCAGATGAAGGTTTTTAATTGAAAATGCAATATGTAAATATGACTGATGTGGAGAAAATCTAACATTAACTTTACATTTGACACATTTGCACTTGCGTCTGAACTTCAGGATGAACTGGATAAATTACTTTATTTACTTTAGAATGATATTAAAAGCTCTAGCAAGAGAGGATTTTAAAGCTAATCCAAGCAGATTTAGCTAACTGTTGTTTTTTGTGGCATAAAAGAAAAGCCCTATATATGATGTAAAATATGTGATTTGATTTGTGGGTCTTTTCTAAGTTGGTCTGGGTTCTGGTTGTGGGCCCACAGCCGCTGCTCTGGTAGGACTTGTGAGCATCCCCGTCTCCTCCATCTGATCACTACTCCCTCTGATTAATGGCACCTGCTTTTCATAACTCTATCTGCTGGAATCTGCATACCAATGATCCCCATTGCTTATCGATTCCCCCTCACCCGCAGCACACACACACACACACACACACACACACACACACACACTCACACACACACACAGTCATCCTCTGTGCGTCTCCCTCCCCGCCCACTGTCATTTTAAAAGTCAGCAGCTGCTGCATGCATTGCTCATAAATCATAATTGCTTGTTCATTTTTCCCCACTTGTTTAATGTTGTGTCAGAGACGGCGGGGGGAGAAAAGGGGGGGGGGGGCGGGAAAGGAAGAAAGCCCCAAGAAAGTTTACCGAGATGTAGAAAAATGGAATGAAAACAGAGAGTTAGAGGGGCAGTCGCAGTAGAGTCAGACATAGTCTTTACCTCTGAGAAACCCTGAGGTGTGCGTTTGTAGTTGTGTGTCTTCCAGCTTTGCTTGTGGTCCCACCAGAACAATAAAGAATAAAGTCCCTCCTGCTGAGCTAGCCCGCCTTAGTACCACCATCTCAGCTGACATTTGGGAGCTGTAATTATATTAATTCCTTTAAATGACTGAGGTAAGGATTTATTGATGGTAAATTTCTGCATGTTGCACATTTTAAGCAGCACTTTCTCTCTCCCACAAAGAAGTTTGTGCCAGAAATATTTCTGCCTTCGTAGAAAAATACTTCTGACATTAAGTGTTTTTTTTATTATTTGAGAATTGCATGAGTGCTATTAAAACCAAAAAATTGACACTGGCAGAAAAATTGTGAATAGGTGGAGGCTGTTGGATAAATTTATTTAAATTATTTTAACAAATGTGCCAGCAGAGATAAATCCCCTTCTTGTGGTCATAGATTAGGTACCTATAGCCACGGGCTCCAGTTTGAATCGTCACGAATACCTGAAAACGCGTTCAGCCCTCCTGGTGCTGCAACTCATGGTAGATTTGGTGAAGCCTTGACCACATTCTCCCCTCTGGTCAGACTGGAACAAAAATAAGGAAAATCCAATCACAAAGAGACTTACACCAGAGGCCTTAGCTGACTTCACTTTCTGACTGCTTGTCAGTCTAGCTGAAGATTAGTGTGGAGAGGATGTGTTGCCCCCGAATCCCTGTACTGTACATTCAAATATTGTAGAATAGAAATGAATAAAACATCTTGGTTTTCCTTTTTTTTTTGTTAAGCTAAACAGAGCTGCAGTCAGGTTTTCCATCAGTTTCAAGCAGAGCTGACCTGTAGATGTTTTTACTGGTAATCTTACAGCAAAATCCCTCCAGGCCTTTTCTCTCTGATGGACTCAGGTGCACAAAATGCTTTGTTCCTTTACTTTGTTCTCTTTTGACCACTTTTGGATGAACATTATCATTTTTGATCTGTTAAAAAAACCGACCACATACCTCCTATAGAGCATTCATTCACTGTCTTTCATCCATCTTGCTTCACATAATTTGTACCGCAGAAATGATAGATCGGTGTGACTTAAATTCAGCAAAACTGCAGTTGTACTGATAGATCGATCCCCATCCATGCTGCTGCTAAGCATATTGCCCCCCCCCCCCCCCCCCATTAGGGCGGTGCTGCAGCGGGCTCTCGGGCCGGCCTCGTGCAGGAGCTGCTTTATTGAGCACTATGCTGACATCCAGCCGGCTTTCTGCAAAGCAAGGGGAAACTTTGGATGACATGTAAAAAGCGGAGCATGGTCCGACATGATTCTGTAATGGGATGGGCACAGGGGCCACCGGAGGGGGGGGGGGGAACTTAACTGCAGGTACGTGGGGGAGGCAGGAGGATGGAGAGGGAGTGTCTCTTCCAGGCTGCTTCCAAAGCAAATGAAAGACAATCCAATTTCCTGTGATTCCATCAGGCGTCCGTCCTGGATGTGGGGGCATTAGGGGGCCAGAGACAGCCGGCCGCTGACCCCTCAGGAGCATGCAGGGAGCCTATTTGCTGCACAGCCTCTCCAACATGGCAACACACATGCATTATTGTCGGTTGTGGCGTATTAAGGCTTGGCTTTTGATTTGTGTACCATAACGCACGCATTCTTACGCTTTTGTGTGTACTTGCATACATACACTCGCCTCTCCTTGCTAACAATGAACGGCAGATTAGCGCTGGCTGCAGATTAGAGCTTAAACCCCTTACACTTTAATTATAACTGTATGTATTTATGTGCATCAAGGTCTCACTCATCCTCGACTTAAAGCGTTTGTGTTCATCCCACTGAGCCTGTGTGTACGCACACTGAGCTCTCAGATCAAGAAAGTATCTGTTTAGCTTCTTGGGCTAATAAGTATAGTATATGACCTCATTTTCTGTTTGCAAAAATGACCTGATTGTTATTTCAGCATGCCATTTTTCCCACCTCTCTTTGAACTGAAAAGCTTGTATAAACGGTCCCAGCACAGGGAGAGAGATCCTGGCTGGGGTTTGACCGGCAGACAGACGGACGTGGTTGTCGTCTTGGCTTGACCACTGCACCGCTTTCCACGCCGGTGGCCATTTGCATCTGTGCCCTGCCGTCTGTCCAGAGGGAAAAGAAAGCTCTAATCCAATCAGCAGGTCTCTGAAGTGCTGCCCCTGAGAGTCAGAGAGACGCACAACAATAGGATCACTCTGAGCCGGGCCCAGCCGGAGAGGGCAGACGGGAAAGGAAAGAGAGGAGGGACGGAGAGGGGAAGGGGCTGAAACTAGAGGGGACGCTCAAAGGCAAAGACTGAGAAAGGTTGGATTGTCCATGAAAGTGGAGAAGGAGGTGGGTTTGGATGAAGTTCAAACAAGTGTAGGGAATGAGCTCAGGAAACGATTTGAAGAAATGACCAAAACTGAAACGTGCTCATGAGTCCGACTGTTGGAGGGCCAAAGGTTGAGGGACAAAAGGAGGAACTCACCCTCCAGCTTTGGGAATGTGTAGCCGTGTGCTTCAGTGAGATGTTGCAGAACAGAACGTTAACCTGTCTCTGACCATTTGAAAGCATTCTACTCAGATCAACAACTGCTCCAGAGGCCACAATTTGATCCATCTATCATCGTTATGAGGGGCAAAGGCAGCCAGGAGCGGTGATTAGGACCGGAATCTGCTGTTGATGATACTTGTCATATATTCTGTCTTATCATACACACACACACTCACACACACTCGGGTTTCCCATCATTGTCCCTGGTCCAACACTTCTTACAAGAGTTATATCTCTAGCATTGATCCTGCGACCTCGAGTGTCATTTGAGCAGTTCTGAGGACACATTCATGAATGAGAGAGACCACTTTAGATTTTCTGGTAAGTGTCTGGCCCCCCGTCCCCCCCCCATATCATCCACGGGATCGCACAACCTCCTGGGGTTATCTTTATTCTTTTCTTGTTTTGTTCTCCATGTGTCCAAAAGGCAAATGCTCTACATTTATAGCTACGTCAACCTTGTTACACAAAGCTACACAAGCCAACAATTTACTACCAGGATTCTCCTCGTGTCAACAGGAATGATAACCGGTGTCAGAAAATCCCATCATCCAGCTGCAGGGTGTATTTTCTGATGTCCTTTCACTTGGTTTTGAAGCACACACAGCTAAGTTTCAACAGAGCATTTTGGTGTGAACCCGTCTTATTCCAGGTCATGGAAGCAGATGCATGCGTTTTTGCATTATTGTTTATTTTCAACGGTAAACAACAATAAAAGACAAAGTCTCTTATTGGGATGGGATTACCACGTTTCATTCAGGGTCTCCTCTTAAAGTGTCCCTGCTGTAGAAATGGTTAAATGGTACTGTAACAGTTTCGAATTGGAAAGTTTTAGAAAAGTCATTTGCAACTTCTAACAGAGTTAATCTCTGCTTTCTACACAGTCAATCAGATATTTTACAATGTTGATAAAGTGAGAATTTGTTTTTCCTTTTGCAGGATAATGAAGGACAGACAGCACTACATTATGGTAAGAAGAGCTTTTATATTCATAAAGGGGCTTCTAGATTTGCCCTCACACACACACACACACACACACACACACACACACACACACACACACACACACACACACACACACACATATAAATCTGGTCTTGGCCTGCGCTGGTCCCAAAGCAACCGTTTTACCCTCCATTTCCTGAAACTTTCTCTCCTCCATTCTTCATCTTTATTCTCAGGATCTCTCTTTAGTCCGTTCTGCCTCATCCTCTGGGCACATGTACACATGTCCTGTGGTATGTCCCAGTGCATGTGCAGCTCTGCCTGTGTAATAATCACAAGACCTCCCAGAGGAAATCATCCGGGGTCTGTAGGCTCCCCTGACCCTCTCATGCCCCAACACACACGTCCCTGAGGGGCGGCTCCCGTGTCCTCTGAGTGTGTGTGTGTGTGTGTGTGTGTGTGTGTGAGCACACCATCTGTCCCCCGGCTTGGTGGCGTTGGCGTGGGCTTGTTGCATCGCCCAGCGGAGCTGCAAACACACCAACACACAAATGCACTGGAACCCTGGAGGACGGGGCATAAAAAGATGACTAATAAACATAAGCGATGAACTCAAAGAGACAAATAGCAGAGAATGAAAATTCATTCCTACCTCTCTTTGCACAGGGCCACAGTGGCTGGCAAGTGATTAATTGTGGGTTTACTGCTCACCATAAATTGTTCTCCTCCTCTACTGCTCCCCCGAGGGCCGGCCACTTTTTTACAGCAGGAGGCCAGACAGCCGCCACGCGCAGCCCTACCCGGCCGAATAAAACCCAGATCAGAGGAGAGGGTTCAGAGAGGAGAGGGGCTCAGAGAGGAGAGGGGCTCAGAGAGGAAACCCACAGGTTCTGTTAGTCTGATTTGGCTGAACGATCAGTGTCCCCGGTGGCTTTTTGCACCTTTTTATTATTCATGTTTTGCACAATTGAAGCGTGCACGCAGATTTGCCTCCACACTCAGGCATTCCAGTGTATCATCACATCCCGTCCCAGCCCAGCCACCTCTGGGCTGCGGGTTAAAAGGCCCGGCTGTCAATCAGGGCGGCTGCTGACATCAGCGCACACAAAGTCGGCTCTTTAGAAAGAGCCGGAGATCGACGCGGGCCGAGCAGAGCACTCACAGCCATGAGGAGGGCTGAGGTGCCAGAGGGGGCAAAAGGGGCTCTGGGAATGAAGGGACACACTAACCAGGTTAAGAAAGAGCAAGCAGCCCCCCCCCCCCCTCCCACCACTCTGCGCAGAGAGAGCGGCGGAGGCGAGACCCTTTTAGTGGGGCACAAATTGCCAATGGGGCAGAAATGAAGTGTTGAGGAAAGCTGGGGTCCAGACCGGTGTCAGTGCCGGCTGCAGATGGGCTTTTCATTAACTCTGTTACTGTACACACTGTATTAAAACACAGCATGTAGAGCAGCAGAATACCCATCAAATGAGCTCAAACCTGATACACACCTTTATTTCAGTCTTAAAGGAAGTATCATTTATCCACACCAACATTAACCTCACTATCACAGGAAAACTAGGTGGTTATCAAGCATAGCACCATTTCATTGATCTTAATGGACTCAAATGTTTATTTGAGGAATTGTAGAATTTACTGTCAAAAACTTTGAAATAAACTCAGCAGAAAAGCGTTAACAGAAGCACAGGTGATGTTTTTGCTGCCATTCAGAAGAAAAAGCAGAAAAAGCGCTTATCTGTATGATAGAAAAAAAAGGCAGCAAATACTGTGGGGAACAACTACAAAAAGGACATTTGAAGCTCATATTCAGGGATTGCTTTCACCCTTAAGAATTTTTTGGGATACTGTGTCATATCTGAATGGAAATGACTGGTGAGAGGCATCATTTCAATTTTTGTTCAATTTAATTCAAAATGTTAATCTTTTTTTTTTTTTTCCTTTACCAATCAGTCATTTACTAGAGACTTTTATACAGACCGCTCTCCCCTAAATTTGCTCCTGTTGCGACTAGGCAGGCACTATGAAAACCTTATAAAGGGATTTCAGTATGTGACAAAAAATCAGTGGAAGCCTGTGGTATAAGGGCACGGTTCCCATTTATTCAGCCAGCTCATGGACACATCGCTATGCACAGAGGATCTTTTCTGCATGGCGAGGCATCGTATAGATGATGAGATATTTGTGATTCTTCTTTTACCTCCATTGTTCTGTTTGGTTTGTTCCTCCTAGCATCGGCCTGTGAGTTTGCAGACATCGTGGAGCTCCTGCTTAACGCCGGGGCCGACCCGTTCATCAAAGACATGGAGGGCTCTCTTCCAGAGGAGGTCACCGAGTCCAGCGCCATCTCCTGTCTCCTGCGCCAGTACACGGCTCCTAAAGGCTAGGCCCCCCATACCAGGCCTCGCCCCCCCCCACCCCCACCCCCGTGTCCTCGTCTCCTCCCGGCCCCACTCGTGTGCTCAGACTCCCACCAGGTCTCGTTCATTCCAGGAGAGACGCTGCTGTTCAGCCCCTGCAGTCCGTAGACCGGGACTGCACAAGTTTGATTTGCATTTATTTCTAAGTTCTTGAGGTGAGTGTGAATCGATCAGCGCAGCTCCTCTGAGTTAACGTTGTGAACATGAGTCATCTCATTCGATAAGACACATCCGTTTAAGGGCACTGCATGTATTTTTAGTCTCTTTGAAATACTGTATATTGACCGTCTCCATAGTAGGGCTGGGTGACAATGTGTTCATTAAGAGACAACAGGGATTTCCCCAAATTATTGTATGATTTTGCCGTACACAGGAAACCACTCTTTGACTCCTCTCTGATTAAACTCTGTCAACACGATACCAAAGTAATGACATTCCCATCTACTCTATCTAAAATGCTATACAATTCCTGGAAATTCACAATATTTACCATAATAAAAGAAACCGTATCAACAGGGAGGATTTGATGTCACCCATCCCTACTGAGGTCTGACAGTCTGCCAGGCCTTTTAGTCTGGGTTTGTTCATGGTTCAGTTGTGTTGCATACCTAGGAACGCTTTTATCATTTGATATGTATCATCATTAAAGTCTTCAGTGAAGCCTGAATGGTCTTTGTTTTTTCTTAAAAACAAACAGTGCTTAATCCCGGTACAGTAAGGTTTCTTACACTCCAGCTGAGCACGATTCTCTGTGCTCCTTTTTCTGATGAATACCACATGCCCTCACACTCTTTGGGAACAGATGAAAAAAGTTCTGGAATAAGTTGCATAGTGCCGCAAAAAGCGTCTAATAGAAATAAACTAACATCGTACATTATCCTTGTACGTAAAGTGCACTGTGTGTAATTCCCCAGCCTTGTGCAAAGGGATTTTAACTGATGTAACTAAAACAAAATACATCACTACAAATAAACTGTTCCACTTGAAAATGAAAACCGGTGAAATGACAACTGGGAAATAAACATGCAAACCACACAAAGAAAACCCTGACCATATCATTTTAAATGACCAGAAATACCAATGTAGAGGAACAATTTCAATTAAAAACCAGGTTATTAAGTTACTGATATGCTCATAAACATATATCTAAGAATATGAGGAATTTAAGTGAGATAGACATGACTATTTCAGCATACTGTACAGATGACCCGGAAATAATTCAAATAGATTTGAAAGAATTCATTGAAATACTTGATGGGTTATTTTCCATTTTGGCTCATAGTTGTGGAGACGTTACAGTGCTTTATTTTCTCTAATGTGTTTTTCTCTTTGTCCTACTTCTGTTAGCATCCATGACACTGATGAAAAC